CTTGCGGTTGGCTTGAGTCAGTTCCATTCTGAATATTTTGCTGTCGTTCATATTCAACGTCTATTGGCTCTGACTTCAGTTGAGTGCTTGAAAATAGATGTTGGCGTGCCGTTGCCGTTGGTTCGCTAGTCGACGTAGATGGTGTCAGCGGTGGTGACGGAAGAACTTTTGTACTCTCGGTGGCGTTTGAGTTGACCACTGTTGGACCTGGGCTCTCAGACTTTCGGGTTCTTTTGGTCAAATCCAGTGATGCATTGTCTTGGGAATCGTCTCCCTTTGTTTCGTTGTCCTCAAAACACGTTTCTGGAACTGATTTTTTTACCGACAAATCGGCGACTAAATCGTATTCGTTGGAGTTATCACAGGAGTTTTCATCCGATTGCACAGTACATCGAACTGGGTTCTGACTCTTTCGCTTGCGTTTATTCGATGTGGAACCAGGTGTGTTTGCAGCGCTGCTGCTACCGCCACTACCCACGCCCGGAAAGGTAGAACTCTCAAAGTCGCCCCGCATACTGAACGAATCGGTTACACTAAGTGAGTCGTCGTTGCTCTCGCTACTGTGCTGCTCAGCCACGCCCGATTCGGCATCGCGGTCACCGCTCGGTACTTTACTGGAAGATGGTTCTTTGGTATGCTTGTAGTCAGTCGTTAAAGGCGAGGTGAGATCCATATCGTGACTGTTGTCTTCTACATCGGAGGCGTCGTCCCCGCCGCCATCGGTGTTGTAGTCCTCTGAGTTGGTTTTCTCCAAAATACTATCACCTTCGTCACCCACCACCACAATACCCTCTCCCTCGTCATCGTCATCATCGTCGTCGTCGTCGTCATCGCCTATGTGAATGCCGCCATCCAATATGCTATCATCTTCGTCATCGTCCAACTGGCCCTCACTGCCTTGTCGGTGACGAGAGCGTGTGTCAAAGCGTCCCAACATGGCGCTGTCCATGTATGAACGGTGCATAAATTCAGCTGAGCCGTGTTTCATGTCGTGCATGCTGGCCATTTGATGGTGCCTCATATCGGGCGGTGGTGTGAGCAGCGGAAAGCTGCCAAATGGATTGAGACCGGCCATCAGCCCGTTCGGTGGTTGTAAGAGCAACGGATGAGGTTGAGCTGTGCGCCCATCGTGGGGAGATATTTTGCGCCTGAGGTGGGGAGAATGCAGCTTCGGGTTCGGATTGGCACTGTGGCGGTTTCGAGATCGGCGAGAACTGAACATCATACTACAGCCGTCTACGGTGCACTTGTGCATCTCTCGCAAATGTACCGCGGAAAAGTGGATCTTGAGCGCGCCTTTGTCACAGAAGGTCTTTAAGCAGACATTGCACTGCACGCGCTNCGGTGCACTTGTGCATCTCTCGCAAATGTACCGCGGAAAAGTGGATCTTGAGCGCGCCTTTGTCACAGAAGGTCTTTAAGCAGACATTGCACTGCACGCGCTTTTTTCCTGTGACCGGGTTGATGAACTGAGTGCCCAAATTCGCAGGCAAAGTGCCCCATTGACGTTTGCCCGGTGAGTGCGATTTTCGTCCAGGACGTAAGCTAACGCCGGAAGAAAATCTCGTAAGTCGTTGCGAGGAATGAGAGGACGAGTGATCGATGTGACTTGAGCGCGATTGACGAGATTCATGATGTTGACTTTGGTACGAATTGGATATGGCGGCGGAGCCAATGGATGTTGGTGGCGAAACAGGATGATGATGGTGGATGCGATGAGTAGGCGGCTGCTGAGCGTGCGAGGTGCCTGCACGTTCACGTATGTGACCCATGTTTCCGCTGTCGCCCTGATGTTTAGACAGTTTTGCCTCCTCAGCATCTGGGGATTTCGAACGTATAGCTTGCTTGCTCAGGTTTAGGTTGGGATTAATTGTGGGAAAATGAGACGCGAGAAGACTATGAGGCATTGGATTTCCGGAAGCAGCAGCTGCTGCAGCTATAGCCGCCACTTGATTACTCGTCAGGCCCGGAGGTAAACTGGATGCTGTTGGAACGCCCGTAGGTGAAGCGCCTGGGCCGAGCGTCGGCGGTGGAGGCGGAGGTGGTGGTAAAGGAAAGGGTAACGGGTGCCCCGACATAGCCATCGCATTGAAGAACTGGTTGCTTTGAGCTGCAGCAGCCGCGGCCGCAGCGACTGCCGCATTTTTCTCCGACGGAGTGGAAGCCTCGTTGATGCGACGACGCGCTTGTGCCAACATTGCTGCTTGTTGAGCAGCCTGTTGTTGCAGGTGCTGGTGATGCGCCAGCTCGTTTGGACTCATGCGCGCTGGTGGCAGCGGTGGCAAGCCGCCAAACGCCGTAGAACTGATCTTGCGAAAGTCGAATGGTTGCATGTTTTGCAGGTGACTAAGCGGGTTGTGCGGGTTTTGAGGCGAACCGCTATTGGCTGACTGCTGCATACTGCTGCCAGGACTACTCGCACTGGCAGCCGATGAGTTAGATGCTGAGTGGTGATGTTGACTGTTTGCACTGGCGTTCGATGTTGGCGGCGGTGGTGGCGGTGGCAAGCCACAAGCTGGCGATGCCTGACCGCGAAAATAATTGGCCAAATGGTTTGGCGGCGACAAACTGTTGCTGCCCGATGCCGACGCCGCGGCCGAAAGCTTTTGATGAAGTTGCGATTGTAGTTGCATCTGCGCGTGCGCCAATGAACTCAAATGCATATTCATGGGAAGAGTTGCTGCCCTCGGCGGTGACGGACGGCGGCTTGGTGACATAACCATGGATGCTGAGCTCGTTGTCGCTGTATTGTGCTGTTGATGAAGCGAATTCCGTTTGCCGGACAAATCGTGATCGCCGCCACTTGAGCGCCGCGCAAGTTCCTGCTGTTGTTGCTGTAGTTGTTGTTGTTGTTGTTGATGGTGGTGATGATGGTGCTGCTGCTGCTGCAGCTGATGGCGCTCGTAACTGTATGCAAGTGCGGCGGCCTGTGCTTGCGCATGCGCTTGGGCGTGAGCGTGCGCCTTCTTCAGATATTCAAGCTCGAGGTCTTGCAGTTGTGCGCTGGTCGGCAGCGAGTGTGGTCCAGTGGCGATGGCGGCGGCAGCAGCAGCAACAGACGCTGGCTGCAGGGTCGGCGGCAGTGGGAGCGGGTAGTGTTGTGCTGGCGGGTATTGCTGTGCTGGATGTCGCTGCTGGAATCCGTTGCTGGAATTTTCCTGATTAATATTCATTAAGTCGCCGTTTTGGACAGATTAGCGTTGTTGCAGTGGTTGCAGTAGTTAAGACTAGAATTGTTCGTTCTGGATGCTTACTGGAAAACCTGTCACGAGTATTGTCGCAGTCAATGCTTATCGTACAATCCTGAGTGCATGGATGCGACATGGCGATTATTACGCCACCAAAAACCACAACAGCCGAGTGTGAATGTGTTTGTTGAAATAGCCTGAAAGAAAGAGAGAAAAAGAACAATGAGGTAAGCCTTGTTGATTATTTTAGAATAAAATTTTGATCTGTATTATTTAATATTAAGAAATAAATCCGCCACAAGCAAAATGGTCAACAGCCACCTTCAACTCAAACACACACACAGGCGTAGATGCTATGTATGTATATCATCGCATCAGGACTGTCAAGTGGGCTTGGTGTGGACCCTTGTCATTGAGTAAACATGTCCATAAGATAACCTCAAACGCTGCACAGTCCTCAGTGTGCTGTGTAAACAAGCGCTTGAAGCCTGGCAGAAAAGCGACTCCTTCAAACCCTTTCCCGCATCACGGCTGTATGCATACATGTGTATGTACATTAGGGTGTCCCAGAACACATCGGATTATTAGGTTTAAAAACTTCCTTATGCCAACACTCCCATTATCCCCTTATACATATGTATATAAAATTTAGTTGACTTACAGCCGGTTTCACCAGCAGTTTAAACGAAAAATTATTTTTTTATTTTCTGTCAATTTACATATAAAGTTCAAAAAATTAAAATCATTTTTCACTTAAGTGGCTTTCGTGAAACTGGCTTTGGTTAAGTAGTTGTATTGAGATTGCCACACTGCACGCAATATGTACTTCTCTAAAAATTTTTAAACATTTATGCCGCTAAGTTGAATAAAGCCGATAGACGTTGGCTTTTCCGCAGCCGTTTATCGCTAAAATCTGAGTTATCCTGCTGCTTTCAAGAGCTATTTTTGCCAATACCGATTGAACCCACCTCCATACGATATTTTGATTGTTTGCTGTCAAAACAAAGCATCGAAGAGTAACTTTGTCGAACAGTGTAGTTATCTTGGTACAAGTCCGTACGGGTCATCGTCATTCTACAGCAATAAACCTTTAGATTTGTACGCCAACGAAAAATTTTGGGTCACCCTAATGCACTACGTACACGGGTGCGATGCTTTTGCGCGTATCGTTTTATTTGTCCTGCCATACAGCGCGACAGTTTAGTGCAATTGAATGTATTCCGCTCAAGAGACGCTTGGCTCGGCGCGACAAGGTATGCGTTTGCGGTTAACACGGAATGACACTAGAATTGTGGAAATGTTCCGTTCTCGCTCGAGCGCTTGATAAACATAAACATATGCCCCACTACGAACGCACGCTCGCTCATGGAGGCTTGCATAATGAAGGCTACTTGATGTTTGCGTGGACACTACAGCACCAGCTTAAAATGTCGACTGGCTGAGCCAGGTTTCCACTCTCCAGGTTTCTATTGCTTGGCATTGCCCAAAGTACGCAGAACGAACCAAACGTGACTTCAGCTACATACCTTCAAAGCGCAAACATTCACGCACACTCACGCAGTCTGACATATGCACTCGCTCCATGCGTGTACGTACATTTTGATCGGTTCGCACGGCAATATGTACCTGCGGACTTGCGGCGGCCAAGTTCTCCTTCTCTATTTCGTCAAGTGGCCCATCAGCAGCACTTCTGTTATGATCAAACCTTCGAGGTGACTCTGTATTGGTGCGCAAGTTGTTGCTGTTGCTTGGTGTCGCTGTCCTCTTGCTGTGCTTCACTCATTGTTACAGTCGTTGAGTGTCGCATATCAGTGAGAGTTTGAAGTGTCCATACAAAATTGTCACATCATTATTGTTATTTTTTGTCAAGTATTTTTTCAAGTAGTTACATACATAAATAGTTTGTGAACTCGAGTGAATATCACTCTGGGAGGTCGTTTATCTATGTTTGTTTTCGTAAGAAATTCATTGAAATACTTCAGTTGACAATGCCGTGAGGTCTATTTAACGACTGACTGCATTGACTGAGGTGTAAATAAGCGAATAAATAGGAGGGCTTCTTCGTATGTTAGGTATCTACATATGTACATACATGGTTTGCACGTTCATATTTATAAATTTATGCAAATGATATTCCAAATGTTTTTTATAGAACAAAAATGAAAGATAATAATATAAGAAAAAAATTTGTATACACTCCCATTCTAATACATTTTTACTTTCAATTAACTATATTTATTATGTTAATTTCTCCTGATGATGAGGCATACGATGAAGACGAATCCGTGGCATTAAGGTTACCAATTGTATAAATTCCATGGGTACACTCCCGTCATGGGACTTTACCTAACAGTTTTACAATCAATAACTATTGTGTTACAATTTGAAAACCGCTGCACTAACTCTAACTTAGCTGAACTTTCTCTCCCTTTTACAATCGCTTCACCCTCACACTTATTGCCGCTTGACATTTTGCGTTGGACAACAATTAATTTGATTATAAAAATTACTCTGTGTTGCGCCCTCTGGCGGATATAACTATTAACAAAATGAAAAGTCGAGATATGGATTCCTTATACCTATAGGCCGTTTATAGCATTTTTTTAATAAAAAATGTAAAGACTTTTTTACCGGAAATTGATTTTGGAGCCATGATTTCTTCGTAAAATTTCATGTAGAATATTCCTATACCCCATGATAAAAACATTACAAGGTAAATTCTTTCTCTCATTTCATCGGCCATGATTTTTTTCTGACGTTTGCCAACATTTTAAAATCATATAAAACTGAAAATAAAAAAATTAAATTGTTCACAATTGTTGTTGTTTGAGATTGAAAATGAGATTGTGTGTGTGAGTTTGAGTTTTGATTTTAAAATAATATTGTTGGCAAACGTCAGACTGCCTCTCAATGGTTTTACCTTGTTATGTTTTTATCATGCTATACCCTACCCGCAGAGTCGAAAAAAATCATCAATGTAAATTGAGCCGCCCTAGCTTTTTCATTCTGATGTGACGTGAAATTGGCATGAAAAAGCGTTAAAAAAAAATAATATAAAATAAAAAGTCAACATTTTAAAAAAGGTAAATTGTAATTTAAAGCTTTTGGTAGTAAGGCATAGGCAAACATACATATGTACATACATATGACCTGGCGTGTTACAAAAGCAGATGTATGTTTTTTCGTATAAAAGTTTTGTGCTAATATCTGAAATGTTTAAGTTTCATTTTCAATGTTTTTAAATATAAAAATCGTTCCTTTTTTATCAGCCGAAGTATCTTGACGTTACGTTACTAAAATTTCCATTGCAAAAGTTTTGCTGATATTTATTTTAAACGAATTTTTAACGCAAATAAAACACCAAATTTTTGTCGTATATATGTACATATATTTTTTTAATTAATTTTTTTTTGCAAATATATGACTAGGTACATATGCAAAATTTCAAACATATCGGAGCATAAATACGGCTTTTCAAAATGACCCGACCCTGGCAAAATGGTTTCTGCTTACATCACCAGTATATATGTATTGAGAAAAGCAGCCAAATTAAACCACAAATAAGTTAGAGATATGACTTATTTTCACGGTAGACCTTTCGCTGGAAACGCCCATATTGTAGCTTTTTTCTTTTCACATTATTTTTGTTACCCAAAATTTCTCATGGCACCTAACTTTTTGTATTCTTAATTTTAAGTAATTTAAAATTCTTTTTAGTGATCATCTGGTCAAAACAGAATAATTGTTAAAAAACTTTTCTGAGTGACATTACTTACATATGTATAGTACAGTGCAATCCGGTTACAATGGACTCAACGGGACCGCATCGAATTGTTCATTATAACCGAGTGTCCATTTTATCAGATTATATTATTTTCCAATTACAAAGAAATAATGTGCAGATATAAATACAATATGGCATACTTTTCATGCAGGGTAAATGCCCGTTATTCCGTTCCGACATTTTTCTTTAAATGCACAAACCACTGATCATCAAACACCAACGAAGCGTCACTTACAGAAACTGATTGCCTATTTTGACAGATTTCGGTGAACCAATGAACTTTGTCTAAGTATATATGTAGACATTTCCTATTGCAGAGACTGTTAGCTCTCTTTACTGAATTCGGGGAATTACCGAACTTTGTTTATAACAGAGATTTTTTTTTTAATCTGGCCTTGACAGCCCCGGCGGAGTCCGTTATAACCGAGTCTATTTTAAACCAGTTTTTTTTTCCATTTGTTTGAACTGGGCCATGACCATAATTATTTATTCTTTAATCTCTTGAAAAAAAAATTTATTTTTAGAAATACATACTGGTTTCTATCAAAAAATGTATACTTATTGAAGAAAATTAAATAAATAATAGGTGATGTGTGTGACACGCATCGTGTACAAATATACGTTCAAACATACATATGTATGTATGTATGAATGCATGTGTACACATAATCACCCTGCAGTAAAATTTAGAGACAGTCTGACAAAGCGCTAGTTCTGAACTACATCTCTCAGAACTATCTCTGAACTAGGGCAAAACGGATGCAGAGCGGGACAGTTGAAACTTGCGGTGTAAATGTGCAAATGCTCACCACTCGTACAATACGAAAGTAGCTCAGCGAGAAGACCTCCGCCTCAAGTTGGTCGCGAGTTGAAATCGCGGTGAAGGCAGTTGTGAGTTTTCAAATTTAATGAATTTAAATTCTTGCGTGCAACTTAGAATATTTTTTTTTTTTTTATAAAATATGTAGCAAATCTGTAAAAGAAAAGAAAAAACGTAAAAAATATCCAAAAATCGAATATTAAAAAACTGTCCAAAGCGGAACCGGTTAAAAACTAGTTGCCAAGTAATGCACTTGGCGACAATTACCACCGCCAGTAACATCGCCGTGTAAAACTGGCAGTTGGAAGCATTGCTTGTGTATTGAGCTAGAACTAATACTGACGGCAAAAGGTCTAGTTCTACGCTAGTTTTGAGCTAGTCAGATTTTCTGCAGGGCACAGACAGAAACACACATGGTGTAGCAACTTTCAAAAGTAATTAACATTAACAATTGAAAAGTAATTTGCCACTAATGACATTTGTCAAAGCACTAAAGCGCACTTACATATATATGTATGTATATATATATATATAAACAGCTGTGAGTGAGAAGGGGTTCCCAACCAGATGCCACAAGCGCGCATAGATTGTGTTTGA